CAAGGTCCTCTCTCTTCATCATGAGGGTCTTGTGACTTGAACTCAATTTGGATGCTAAGCATCTTTACCCCCAGAGCAATCTCACTGGCCTTACACTTTTTAAGGCATTGTACTGAGTGCAGTATGCCAGGCACTCTCTCATTTGTTTACTGAGACGGGGTCTCGCTGTGTATTCTTGGCTGGCCTCTGACTCAGAACAGCTCTGCTCTGCACCCCTGCCATGCCCTTTATACTTGTTATACTTGGTACAGTTCTGAGGTGAGGTAGGTAGGTGTGTTCGGTTTCACAGAAGAGAGGATTAAGTGTTAGGCAGGTGAGCAACTGTTTGGGTATTAAATGTTCTAACAGGGCTGAAGAGATGGCTCAGCAGTCAAGAGTGATAATGGCTCTCGTAGAGGGCCCAGGTTTGCTTCTTAGGACCCAGTGGCATCACACAGCTGCCTGTAACTTCAATTTGAGACTTCTGACCTCAAACTGCTGAGCCGATTCGCCAGTCCAAATTCTGTTGTCTCTTTTTGAGTCAGGGTCTTGATTGTGTAGCTCTGGCTGGCTTTGCACTCAAAGAGATCCCCCTGTCTCTGCTTCCCTACTGCTGGGACTAAAGGTGTGTACCATCATACCTGGCCAGATCTCATTTTCTTATGGGCAGATTCACCGGTACCTCCTTGGTCATCTGAGGACTCCTCTGGCTGGTTGACAAGTTGAGGCATCTGAGCCTATTGGATTAGGGACTGTGACCTCCAGGCTTCCATTCAGTCCCCCGGGAATGCTAGAGTGAGTCTGTCAACCTGGAAGTCTCCCCAGCCCTTCTTAACTCCTAGTCTGTCACACCCTCCCAAGTGAGGTCCAGAGGGTGACCCTTTCTTCTTCATTTACACAGCAGAGATTGGTGTGGGGATTGTGTGTAAAACCCTTGGAATGTGAAGCCAGCTACACAAACACGGCTTGCTGCTCGAGCTGTCCTGTAATGGTTCTGATTTGTAGCAGAGCGCTGTCATGAAGCCAGTTCTTACAGTGTGGCAGCTGTGATAGGGTGGAAGGAAGCTTCTAGTTATCATTAAGCCTTTCAAATCCTTGAGTTTGTTTTAGCAATATCATCTTTAAAATGATTGGAGCACATTCTCGCTGCTTTGCCTTTTGTGTGTGAGGGACTATCAAGCCACATTCACAGGTAACTGGGTTCCAGTTACTTCCTGTCAGGGTAACCCATCTGGTAGTGAGTGAGTATAGCTCGACATCTGGGAACAGACCTTGAGGTGAGGAGGATTCGTGTCTGGTTGACCTGAGGTAAGGACAGCTCAGGTCAGCCCTTGACCTGCACTGTAGCCTACTGGCAGTCTTTGTGGCAGTTTCTGATTTAATGGGGCGGAACCTGGATTCAGCTGGCTGGGATTGAACCTTTTAAGTTTTACAAAGCCCCCAAGTTCTTCCCACTTCTGGGCCTGCTTCTTGTCCTGTGTGACTGGCAGACAGGGTCTCATCTGTCCTTTTTTGGCAGACAGTCTTCAGATAAAGTATGGGTGCTGTGATGCCCCCTTGGCAGCACTGGAAAATGTCCTTTGGGAACCTGGTGACCAACTAGGAAACAGACGATGGTCCTGCGAGGGCAGAGGATTCCTACATGAAGTGTCCCTGCTTTGCGTCATCTCGCATCCTGTTTCTTAAGGACCTTTTCCCTAGTCAGATTCCTGCATAGCTTTCTCCTTGCTCACTTTTTGCTTAGGTCCCACCTCACCTTCTTCCAGGTGCTCAGCTCCCAGGGAGGTCCAAAGAAAGGAGCACACACACCTAACGGTTCCGTCTCTCTGAAAATACCCAGCAATAGGAGGTTTTCACCCCAGGGAACTGCTCACTTCATCCAAGCACATGCAGCCTTTTGATACTGTGACAGGATGTTAACAAAATTTATGAAGTTCATGATGAAGACAGAGGCACAATCAAGTTAAAAAAAAAAATGTATTCAGGAGCTGGAGAGATGTCTTAGCGGTTAAGAGCACTGGCTGTTCTTCCGGAGTTCCTGAGTTCAGTTCCCAGCAGCCACATGGTGATTCACAACCGTCTGTAATGAGATGTCTGGCCTGCAGGCAGACATACAGGCAGAACACTGTATATATGAATTAATCTTTAGGAAAAAAAATCAGATATCTTAAGTTTGCAAATTATTTTGTTGAGCCACATTCACATTGTGACCCATGGGCCACAAGCTGGATGTCTCTGCTGAACTATTTCCTCATCCAGCTCCCAATCCTGTGAAGGACTAGCTGGGCTCTGGCCTACTCTACATCCAGCAGGCTTGTTCCTCTCCAGAAATTTAGCTCATTTTGAACAGTGTAGTGAGGAGGGGTGGCTCTCGCCTTTAATCCTAGCACTGAGGAGAGCCAGATCTCTAAGACTTTGGTGGTCAACATAATTCCAGGCCAACCAGGGCTATGTCGTGAGACCCCTTCTCAACAAAAACAAAACAAAAAGAGTGCCCAAACAATAACTATGTATCAAAGAGTTTCGTCCTTACTGTAGGATGTTGAAAAGTAGAGGAACAATCTAAAGAATCATCCATAATCCCACTAATTGGAAGTAATTAGCATTTTGTCATATTTCCCTCCAGCTGCTTTATGGCCTTTTAAAATTACGTAGTTGGGATATCCCCAGTGAACTTTGAAGTCTGTTTCTATTAATTGGGTAGCTTTATAATGAACAATTGATTTTGAATTCTACACATAATTTAATGCCCATCTCTTCCTGCCAATTTTAGATTGGACGTCTTCTGTTTAGGAAACGTGTAGACCTTGACTTCCTCGCTTTGTATGGTGGAAAAAACAACAGTGATCAAAGGCCATTCGGTCCGGGCACATTTGTTCTCTTACGTGTCCTGCTCAGCTTTCAGTGCAGTTTGCCTGTGATTAGCAGGCTGGTGGGGCTCTCAGCCCAGCATCTTCACAGCCAGAGTTCTCTGGGGCACTGAGCAGCTGGACTGAAGTGAGAGCAGACCAGGTGCGCGTGCATGCATAAGTGCATAAGTGCTTGCTTACCCCTCCTGCCGGTTCTCTGCTTGTGACCTTTGCTTTGTTGGCCTGTGTAGGGCTCAGAGATTTCAAGTTTTTGAGGCCCTGTGACGGGTAGAAATGTCTCATCCAAGGTCTCTAGAGCGCCAGCGTGATAGGAAAGATTGTCACCTCTCGATGGACACTGACAGTAACTTCTGATGGAGTTCCCCGCTTTTAGTAGTAGTTTTGGCTAATACTCTCTCCTCTGAAAGAAAAAGATCTCATGGGCTGTGTTAAGAGTTTGCTGATGCCTAGACAGTAGTGGTGCACACCTTTTTTTTTTTCCCCTTCAAGATGGGTTTTCTGTGTAACCTTGGAGCCTGTTCTGGTACTCACTCAGTAGCCCAGGCTGGCCTCAGACTCATAGCGATCCACCTACGTCTTCCTCCCAAGTGCGACTACCACGCGGCTTGGCTTCTTGGCGCACCCCTTTAAACCCACCACTTGGGAGGCAGAGCAGGTGGATCTCTGTGAGTTTGAAGCCAACCTGGTTGATAAAGTGAGTTTCAGGACAATCAGGGCCTGTCAAAAGTTTGCTGATGGCTAGTGCTTAAAGGTATTTTTTGCTATTAAGCTTGACCATCTGAGTTCTATTTCTGGGACCCATATGGTGAAAGGAGAGAACCAGTTCCCCCAAGTTGAATTCTGACCCGCCACATATACACAGTATATGTAAATATATATTATATATATTTATAAACGTTAAAAAAATCATTTGTAGTTGGGTGTGGTGACATACCGTACCTGTAATTTTTGTCTCAGCATTTGAGAGCTATAGTTAATCTCAGTATCAAATAAATAAAATATTTTTTATGGTCATGAAGAAGCCAAGGCAGAAGAATTATCCCAAAATCAAGGCCAGGCTCGACCTCATAGCAAATTTTAGGTCAGTCTAGGGTACAGAGTAAGATTTTGTTTCAAAGAAAAAAGAAAGAGAAAGAAAGAAAGCGGGTGGGGGTGGGGGGCTGCATGTGTTGACCCAAACCCGAAGTCCCAGGATTTGGGGAGCTGATTATCCTGGTCGGGTGACCGCTGCCGTGATGAACACCTTGACCACGCAGGTTGGGGTGGAAAGGTTTTGTCTGGTTTATACTTCCACATTGTAGTCCAGTGAAGGAAGTCAGGGAAGGACCCTGGAGGCAGGAGTGGTTGCCGAGACCCTGGATGGGTGCTGCTTACTGCTTGTTCCCCATGGCATGCTCTGCCTGCTTTTCTTAGAGAACCTAGGACCGCCTGCCCAGGGATAGCACCACCTGCCTTGGGCTGAACCCTCCTCGGTCAGTTACTAATTAAAAAAAATGCCACACTGCTGGATCTTACTGAGGATTGTCTCAGTTAAGGTTCCTTCCTTTCTGATAACGCTAGCTGTGCCAAGCTGACATGAAACTAAGCAGCGTGTGGGGACAGGAGGATTTTGAGAGTTGAAGTCACATCCCCTCTTCAATAAATCAGAAGTAGCGGGACAGAAACTAAATTGGGAAAATATTTCAATTTTTATTGTTATTTTAAAATAACCATAATAATATATAAAGTCATTACAAGGTAATATAAGAAACATCTTCACAATGTAGCTATGTATATGTCTGTGCACATGTAACACGCCTAGAATTGACTCAAAATCCCTGTGTGTAGATGACCCAGCCTTTCTTCCACCTGCCACCTCTGCCTTTGTGCTGAGATTATAGGCATGAGCCACCATGCCTGGCTTCAGAAGTACGTGTGTGCAAGACCTCATATTCCAGGCTGCTGTTGAATTGGCTATATAGCTGTGTAGCTAAATGAGGATGGTCTTGAACTTCCGTTCCTCCTGCATCCTTATATCCTGCATGCTGGGATTTCAGGCATGTGTTGCCATGTCTTGTTCACCATGCTAGGTTTATTTTATTTTGCTTATTTATTTATTTATTTATTTATTTATTTATTTATTTATTTATTTCGGGACAAAGTTTCTCTGTAGCTTTTGGAGCCTGTCCTGGAGCTCACTTGGTAGACCAGGCTGGCCTCGAACTCACCGAGATCCGCCTGTCTCTGCCTCCCTAGTGCCGAGATTAAAGGTGTGCCATGCATCACTGCCTCCTGGCTCTTTGTTTTGTTTTTTCGAGGCAGGGTTTCTCTTTGTATCTATAGCTGTCCTGGCACTCGCTGTGTAGACCAGGCTGACCCCCATCACATGCCAGGGTTATGTGGTGCTGGACTACCAATTTAGGATTTAGTACTCCTAGGCATACACTATACGACTGACATCCCCTCCCCTCCACTGTGTTTTTGGAAACAGAAACACTGTTTTTAGTCAGTCTGTCCTTGAACTCAAGATCCTGGGATTACAAGTCTGTACCTCCAGTTCAATTTGACATTTTCACCAGAAACAAGCATCTCTGAATTTTTCCCTTGCCTTGCAGTTGGCGCGGTTTCTTAAAGTTTATTGACTGAAGGCGGTCCCACAGCATTACCTTGTTCAGACATTTCTGAAGTACATGGACTAGCTGCCCCTTCGGGAAAAAGTTGTTTCGGGCACTTGCATTGATGTATGTGTGTGTTCTAAATTTAAGGTCTGCCGAAAAATAAGATTTTGAAAAGGAGTGTTAGGCTGCTCAGTTCAAGGCTGCAGAAGAGTGTGGTGGGAGCTCTGGTTCCTCCAGAACCTTCAGTGCAATTGGGAGGAATGTGTGTGGCATGCTAGGCATCTGGGTCTTCTGTGTCCACCCACAGAGAGCACGTGACCCTCACTAAGCAGATGACCAGGAAGTGGAGGTAGCTGTGTGATACAATCTCCTTTCTACTAGCCTCGGGATGCAGGGAGTGACCTGCCTGACCTCTCCTTGGAAGCTTCCTTCATTGTGGGGGTAGGGAAGTGTCATTTTCCAAGCCTGGATCCATCCACCCACCTGGCTTTCCAGATAGCTTTCTTACAGAGGAGATTTGGGTTCCTCAATTGCTGCTGATCCAAGACCTAAGTCTGGAGCTGGGATTGTGTTCCTCAAAAGCACTTCCTAGAGGTCATCTAGTGACCCTGCCCCCTGCTCTGCCTGGGTGGGAGGTACAAACTCAGTTTCAAGCCTGGTTCTGCCTCTCATTCACTGTGGGATGCTGAGCCTCAGGATTCTGTGGTGGTAGATTTGGGACTAAAGTTACCCCAGGCTGAGGCCGAGCTGGTATGTAGAGCAACCAGGAACTCCTGTGGCCTTGCAAGTGGGAGACTGACTGAGTTCCTCCTGGGCTGGCCTAGCCTCTGCTGTTAATCCGCAAACAAATGGAGATGCAGCCTGGAGCAGAAGGACTCTGGGTGTTGCAAGTGCCCTGAAGCTGAACAGCCCATTCACTTCTTGCTAAAGCCTTCTTGGGCCCTTCAGTTTCTCCTTCCTACAGGTGGCTCACATGCAGCTCCTCCATTGTCAGTTTCTGGGCTTCACAATTATGTGTTGAATATTCTGGTATGGTTCATAAGGTTCAGAACATCTGGCTCACCAAGACTCTTTCCAACAGATTCCACCAGCAGCAGGGACTTCCACTCACTGACTCTCAGCTCCATGGTGCTCCTTGTGTGACTGGCACATAGTAGGTGGACGGGTGTGGATTGCGTTGGGTGGGCTACTCAGTCTAGGGGTTAGTAACCCACCCTGCAATCCAGTTATTCCAGGGTCTCGGAGGGGCGCTACCTGGAAGGGAGTGAGCTAAGACAGAAGACCGAGACCAAGCAACTTTGTCAAGGCCTCTGTTTATTAGGGACGGGTTACAGTTTATATATGGTAAGGGATGAGGGGCAGAGTGGTGGGTGAACACCTCCCACCTTGCCTGAGTTTATCCATCTTTAACACTTTTGCTTAGCCAGCGCCACCACTGTTTAATCACTTAAACTACCTGCCTTCTTCCATGCCTCCTTTTCCTCCCAAGAACACAATATGTAACTGATAGTGTGTGCTTGTAATCCCAGCATAAACAAAAAGATGGAGTTCAAGGCCAGGCCAGGCTACCTGAAGTTCAAGGCCAACTTGGGCTGTATAGCAAGGTCCTGATTTGTAGATGGTACTTGCTTCTGACAACCTGTCAGAGTTTGTCTTCAGTTGGAGGGAATGGGTTTTGTGACTGTGTGCCAGTGTTTCCAAGGGCAGTAGGCAGGCTTGGGTACTCCAGTGACCTGACCTGAAGTGTGTTTTCTGATCAGTTCCCTGGCTGGACTGGGAATAATACCTGAGTTTCAGTCTGGCCCTGACAACCTTCCTGACTGCTAAGGGAACTCCCAGCTTAGATGCAAGTTTTACTTGTCTGCCAGAAATAATGAGTGGAGCCGTAAGATTGATGTTTTGTTTTCTGTATCACTTTATGTTCTTCAAGTGTGAGTTAGCTTTGTGAATGGGGCTTATTTTTAACCTCAAATAAATCTCCATTTTAGTCGTGTGCAGTAGTAATGCAGGGAGGAGAGACTGATGCCGACGCAGAGCACTGCTCCGACGCTCTTCAGAATCGTACTTCTGCGCAAGTGTTGCTATCGTTAGCCAGTTTGTTTGGCTGGCTTTTTTGCTTTGTTTGTATTAAATTCACGGTCTCTCTGTATCCCTGGCTATTCTGGAACTTGATGTGTAGACCAGGCTGGCGGGGCCCTGAATTCACAGAGATCTTGCCTGCCTCTGCCTTCAGAGTGCTGGAATGATAGGCGTGCACAACCGTGCCCAGCCTGTCAACCAATTTTGAAGTAGTTATTATGTCGCTAGATCAGCTAGATGCCGTCTCTCTTGTCCTCTCCTTTCCATTTATCTCCTCTAAAACAGGACATGTACAGGATGCCGTAGTGACATCTCTGTTGTAAAAATGTCCCAACAAGATACTCCCCTGCTCCCACTTCCTCCGGTCCGTGAACAAAACAAAAACTCTGCTTGTAATCAGTTGAATCAATTGTTGGAATCACAAGTCCCCAATACCAACATTAAAGGGTGTGGTTAGATAGAGTTTTCAAATGTCACTTGCATTTGTATGGTCTGTAGAATTTGGGGACACTAGGACTCCCTGGTTCCAGTGATTGGGAGGCCATGGCTTTGTCAGTACCGCACCAGCCCCTCCTCATGCCTCTCCATGCTACTCCTGAAGGATGGACTAGACACATGCTGTGCACTCATGGGATCCCATGTGTAGTTTTAAATTCTCTAATAGCCTTCTTTAAAAATTGTGAGAGGCCCGGCGGTGGTGGTGCATGCCTCTAATCCCAGCGCTCAGTAGGCAGAGGCAGGTGGATCTCTGTGAGTTCGAGGCCAGTCTGGTCTACAAAGTAAGTAGTAAGTTTGGATAATCAGGGCTACTCAGAGAATCCTTGTAAAAAACACCCATAAAAAAAGTAAAATTAGTAAATTATTTTCTTTAGCTCAGCAAGTCTAAAATATCATTTTAGCATGTGATAAATACTTTTGTTTAGTTTTGGTTTTGGTTTTTGAGACAGGGTTTTACTGTTTTGTAGCCCAGGCTGTCCTCAACTCACAGATCTACCTGCCTCTGTCTTCTGAATGCTGGGATTAAAGGTGTTTGGTTTCACTGCCCAGCTGATAAGTACGATTTTTTTTATTTGTTTTTTTATTTATGTGTAAGTGTGTGCATATGCACAGGTGCATGAAGGTACCCTCAGGCCAAAAGAGGGTGTTACTGGATCCTTTGGTATTTTAGGAGATAATGAATCACCCAACCTGGGTGCTGGGAACTGAACTTGGGTCCTCTGCAAGAACAGCGGGAGCTCTTAGCTGCTGAGCCGTCCCCAGCCCCAGTAAATGCAATTGTTAATGAGGTGTTGTGTGCCGCTTTTGTTAGGCTCTCTGAATCCATTTGCATTGGTGCTCTGGTGTGTCTCCACTTGGACCGACTGCATACTGAATGTGTGGTTGCCATTATCTGTCTTAGCACCTGGAGTGCTAGCTCCTTAGCTCTGTTTATTGAGACTCAGCCTCCCTCCAGCAGCTTTTATTTATTTCCTGGGCAGAATTTGTAAGCAGGGATGAAAAAGAGGTCGTCCTTCCGTGTTGGAGTGGCAGGAGCATCATTTAGTAAACGGCTCTCAGCCAGCTTTTTTGTAGTTGTTGTTTTGTTTCTGTTTTTCTTTTGAGACAGGGTTTCTCTGTAGCTTTGGAGCCTGTCCTGGAACTTGCTGTGTAGACTAGGCAGAAATCTGCCTGCCTCTGCCTCCCAAATTCTGTGATTAAAAGCATGTGCCACCACTGCCCGGCTAGCACTCTGTTCATATGGTCTGGTAGTGGAAAGACCTGGCTGTCTCTGCAGACAAGCGGAGAGCTTGCTTGGGTGGCAAATGGTGGTGCACGTCTTTAATCCCAGCATTGAAGGCAGAGGAAGCAAATCTCTAGAACTACATAGGGAATTCTAGGCCAGCTAGCTACACAGTGAGACCCCAGATCTTTTAAAAGGAAGAAGGAAGGAAGGAATGAAAGAAAGAAGAAAGAAAGAGAGGGGTATGCTTGCTTACATCTGTGTCAAAGCCTTTAATTGTTGGTTCTCAGGCTGGGCTGGGGGATGAGGGGTCTCTCTGTGAGTGAGAAACATTAAGAAATAACCAATAAATGAAGACCTTGTCTTTATCTTTTCATTTAGTGGAATAGAAGATGAACTCAACTGAATTCAGTGAAGATGTAGAAGAAGGTAAAAAGAAAAGTTTTTAATTGGATATTTTTGAATAGGTTATATATCATATAGCCCCACATTTTAAAAAGTATTTATGAGAAGCCTTCCTACCCATTGTTGGCAGTCCTTCTATCTATAGACCTATCTTGATCTGCTTTTTAAAAGTGTAGAAAGATGCTATCTAGGGGTGGTTATGTAGTTCAGTTTTAAGAGTCCTTGGCTCTGGGTTACTACCTAGCACCACCATGCACATAAAATGTATGTTTCCCCCATTTACCTCCTCCTGCAAAGGACTTTTAATCCTCTTGGAATTGAACCGTGCCCTTACTGTAGGGCACTGGCAAGCATAGGAACGGGATCGTGTTGATGGGAAGTCTAGTCAGCATCCTTAAATGACGGCGCTAGAGGGTGGCCCACAAACACCTGCCACTCAGAGAGCCTTGCTGCTCGCCCGGCAGCCTTGGTCTTTCCTGCTGAGCCCCATTTCTTCTCTGCCACAGTTGGGAAAAATAACACTGTGAAGGTAGAGGGTGACGATGCTGCGCTGGACTGCTCCCGGAACTCCAGGGCCTCCGAGAAGCACCCCTTGGACAGCGTCCTCACTGCCCTCCAGGAGTCCAGCAAGCGGAAGCAGCTGGGCAGCGACGGCCAAGCAGACTCCATCCCCAGTGTGAAGAGGAGACGGCTGATACCAGAGGTGAGGACCCGATTCCCTCTCGTCTAAGATGAATCTCTGTACTCAAGGGCCTCTGGCAAACTGTTGAGTTCTTAGGCGTGAGAAGGGTTGCGTTTAAGCTGTCTTACTTCTAGCTTCAGTTATTAGAGGGTACCTTCAGCTGAAACACTTCCCGATGTCCTTGTGGGGAGAGTGGAGTCTTCATAATATAACCGCTTTAGTGCTCTTTGGTTTGCTCTGCCTTTAGGGATGTGGGGGCAAGCGTTTGGTAATGGCAAAAATTGTAGATGCCTCTGTGGCTTTATGTGGAAGACTGGTCCTGGGAAAGTTGGAGTAGCAGATCTTTTCCAAATTAAGCCCATCATTTCTATCTACAAAGTGGGTTGTCCCTAAGGAGTCCTCAAGTGAATATTCTCTCCTGCCGTCTTTTAGTCTCTCTCTCTCTCTCTCTCTCTCTCTCTCTGTTTTATTTAGTTCTGGACAGGCTTTCTACATAGCCTTGATTGGCCTCCACCTTACAGAGATCCACTTGCCTCTGCTTTAGGAGTGCTGGGATACAAGGCTTTTTTCTTTTTAAAGATTTATTTATTTGCTGAGCAGTGGTGGCACACACCTTTAATCCCAGCATTTAGGAGGCGATCTCTGTGAGTTTAAGGTCAGCCTGGGCTTCAGAGGGAGTTCCTGGATAGCCTCTAAAACTACAGAGAAATTCTGTCTCAAACAAACAAACAAAAAATTTGTTTATCTGTTATGTATACAGTGTTCTGTCTGCACGTATGCCTGTAGTCCAGAAGAGGGTGCCAGATCTTACTACAGATAGTTGTGAGCCAACATGTGGATGCTGGGAATTGAACTCAGGACCTCTAAGCTGCTGTGCCATCTCTCCAGTCCCCTCAATTCTTTTTTTTTTTTTTTTTTTTTTAAGTACTAGAACTTGTGCCGGGCAATCATTTATCACTGACTTACACCCAGATCCTTTTGTTGTACTTTGTGTTTTATTTGAGATAGAGTTTCATCAAGTTGCCTACTTTGAGCTTTGATTTTGTAGTTCAGCAGGCCTTGAATTTGCCATACTCCTGCTTCAGCCTGAGTGGCTAGCATTACAGGTCCGTGCCACCAGGCTGAATTTGCTACATTTCCCTCTTCTTCTTCCTTCTTGACAGAGTCTCCCTGCTTTAGCTGGCTTGCTGAGCTTGTCTGCCTCTGCTTGCCGAGCTGGGCTTTACACCACCATGCCCAGATGCTACAGTGTTACCGTCTGCTTATTGTATTAACTTGACCTTAGGGGCTGATGGAGGTAGAGAATGGAAAAAGGCCACATCTGCCCCTCACAGCTGCAGTTCGGGTGGGGAATAACATACCACAGAAAGCCATAGGGACTGAGGAATGAGGTGGGTCTAGCCTAGGGCAGAGTCTTCTGTGGTTCTGCAAATACACCTTTAGTTCCTAAGAAAGCATTTCACAGACTCTAAGCGTAGCTCCAGATCTTAGCACCCATCTACCTTGTCATACTTGCTCTCTGGGAGCCCAGGTAAACATTCTGTATGTGCACACAGCCTGGAATTTCTAGTGCTCAGAGCACCAGGGATCCAGCTTTCTCCATTTATTCTTTCCCCCCCTGCGTCAGGGTCTCATGCTGCCTAGGTTAGCCCTGAACACTGCAGCAGCGGATGGTCTGATCCCCTTTTTACCTTTGTAATGCTGGATTTACAGGTGTGCACCATCATGCCTGGTTTATATGGTGCTGGGGATGGAACCCAGGCCTTTGTGCATGCCCGGCAAACACTGTACCAGCTGAGCTACATGCCCAGCTGTCTCAGTCACTATTCTATGGCTGCGAAGAGATACCACGACAAGCCAACTCTTCGTTTTTTTTTTTCTTTAAAGATTTATTTATTTATTATGTATACAACATTCTGCCTCCATGTATGCCCGCACGCCAGAGGAGGGCACCAGATCTCAGTACAGATGGTTGTGAGCCACCATGTGGTTGTTGGGAATTGAACTCAGGACCTCTGGAAGAGCAGCCAGTGCTCTTAACCTCTGAGCCATCTCTCCAGCCCCTTGTTTTAGTTTTTTGAGACAGGGTTTCTCTATGTAACCCTGGCTGTCTTAGCACTTGCTTTATAAACAAGGCTGGCTTCAAACTCAGAGATCCGTCTGCCTCTGCCTCCCGAGTGCTGTGATTAAAGGCGTGCATAGCTGTTGTTGGATGCTGTTCTTTCATTTCTGGGTGCTTAGACCCGAAATAATCACTCAGAAACTATATTGTCTGAATCAGTGCTTGGCCAATAGCTTAAGTGTATTGTGTGTGTGCGCGTGCGTGTGTGTGTGTGTGTGTGTGTGTGTGTCCGTCCGTCCGTCCATCCGTTCATGTGTGTCCTGATGTGCATATGTGGAGGTCAGAGGACAACCTGTAGGAATTGTTTCTCTCCTTCACCATGTTCTAGAAATGGAGCTCAGGCCATTAGTCTTGAAGGCAAGTACTTTCAGAGATTTGCCCAAATGTGTGTCTGTGTACCATGTGGTGGTTACCTTCTGCTCCCAGAGGCCTGAGTAGGACATTGCATCTCCTTGAACTGAAACTGCAGGTGGTTGTGAGCTGGAAACCAAACCTCTGGAAAAGCAGCCAGTGAATTGCTCTTAACCAATGAGCTGTCTCTTTAGTACATGAAAAAGTTTTTAATTTCTTTCAAAGCACTGCAACTTCAACTTACTTTCCTTATTGTATCAGCTTTAGTACAATGTTGAACAGAAACGATGAGAGGAGACGGTGTTTTGTTTCAAATGATATTAGCGAGAAGGCTTCTAGTTTCTTACTAGGGACTATCGGGTTAGAGTAGGGTTATGGAAGATAACTCTTAATTTTCTAATCTAATCATGCACAGGGTGTGTATAGGTCAGGGGTCAATTTATGGCACTTCTTGTTGTCTTCTTTTTTCAGACAGGGTCCTTTTGCATAGCTCTGACTGTCCTGGAACTCACTATGTAGAACAGGCTGGCCTCAGCTCACAGAAGCCTGTCTCTGGAGTTCTGGGATTAAAGGCTTGTGCTGGTAGTTGGTTTTCTCCTACCAACATATGGGTCCCAGGAAATGCTCTCAGGTCCTTAGTTTAGTGACAAAGTGCCTTCATCTGCTGCGCCGTCTCACCCTCAACCCCATTCCCAGATGCTCCTTTACAAGTCGAGCCCCATGTTCCTGAGAGGTTTTGTTATGAATGGTGTCAGATTTTGCTATCTATCAATTCAGTCACATGACTGTTTCTCCTTTACTTTGTTATTGTGATAGATTATATTAATTGGTTTTTCAAATGTTGAACTAGCCAAGATCTGGCCTGGATCATACACACACACACACACACACACACACAATTTTTTTCCGTTTTTGTTTTTTTGTGACAGGGTTTCTCTGTGTAGCCCTGGTTGGCCTCAAACTCAAGAATTTGCCTACCTCTGCCTTATAAGGTGTGTGTGCATCACCACACCTGTCAGTTATCTTTTATTCATTGTTATATTAAATCTGACAGTGTATCATGAGCACTCCTGTGTCTGTATTCATGGGGGTACTGTTGTTGAGTTTCCTTGTATCATCTGCTTTAATACGAAAGCATCCTGGCCTCACTGAAGTTGTGGAGATAGAATGTGTATCTTCTAGAAGATTCTGTAGAGCAATGCTGTCAGGCTGGAGATGTGACTCGCCTGGTAAGGTGCTTGCCTAGGGTGCAGGAATTTTGGTTCAGCCTCTAGCACCACGTGAAGCAAGAGAGTACAGTGATGCAGGTACAGGATGGTCAGGGTGCTTCTGAGCTGTGTAACTGCACAGTGCTATTGAGTCAGCCTGGAACACATGCGATCCTGGGCTGGGGTGTCTTATCATTTATTTTTATTCATTTTATGTGTTTATTCATTTATTTACTTATTTACTTTTTGTTTGTCGAGACAGGGTTTCTCTGTGTAGCTTTGGAGCCTTTCCTGGAACTCTCTCTGTAGACCAGGCTGGCCTCAAACTCACAGAAATCTGCCTGCCTCTGCCTCCCAAGTGCTGGGATTGAATGCATACACCACTACCTCTTGGCTTTATGTACTTTTTAAAGACATGGCCCTGTGTAACCAACCCAGGCTGTCCTGCTGCTGCTGCTGCTCCCTAAGTGATAGGATTATAGGCCTGCTTTACCCGGTGCTGGTGCTCAAACTCAAGGCCTTGCATTCTAGGCAAGCACAGCTGGGCTACATTCTTAGACCCCAAGTTGGTTTGTGTTGAGCAAAGACTTTCCATGCTGTGTACCTTAGGCTGGCCTGGAACTTACTGCATAGCCCAGGCTGACCTTGAATTCATGACATTCCTCCTGCATCAGTCCCTACTGCAGAGTGTGATGCCATCTCTTCTTCAAGTGTTTATGGAGTATACCTTTGAAATCATCTGGGCCGATTGAGTTCAGTTGTGGAGAATATTAATTAGTGATTCAATTTTCTAGTATATTCAGATTGTCTGTTTCTTTTTTTTCTTTTTTTTTTTTTTTTTTTTTTTTTTTTTTGTTTTTTTTTTTTTTTTTTTTTTTTTTTTTTTTTTTTTTTTTTTTTTTTTTTTTTTTTTTTTGGTTTTTTTTTTTGGTTTTTCGAGACAGGGTTTCTCTGTGGCTTTGGAGCCTGTCCTGGAACTAGCTCTGTAGACCAGGCTGGTCTCGAACTCACAGAGATCCGCCTGTCTCTGCCTCCCGAGTGCTGGGATTAAAGGCGTGCGCCACCATCGCCCGGCTAGATTGTCTGTTTCTTATATAAATTTTAACAGATTGTGTCATAATGGATTGGTCCATTTAATGTGAGTTATCAAATTGTCTCCCCCAAAATTTCAGTGTCGAGCAGTATTCTTTTTATCATCCTTTTGTTGGCCTTGAGATCTTTAGTGATGGCTCCCTGTGATTCTTTATCCCCAGCACTGAGGGTCCCTAACTCCTGTGTGTACCAAGTAATCACTACATGCATCCCCAGCCTTAGTCTGGTTATTGGGTTGCATGGTGGTT